ACTGGTTGCAGACCCCTGGTATAAACAGTCACATAATTATGAATATAAAATCTATAACTACAGTAAAACTAATCAAGAAACAGAAGTTTAAAAATGAGTAGGTGGGTTAGTTAAAATCTCAAACAGGCACCGTTCATTTTACCCCTGAAGAGCATCAATCTAGACAAGTTCAACCTTTTCTCTAAGGTAATCTGTTAATTCACATTAATCCCAAAGGCTGCTTTAGCTGAAGCATGTCTAACGCTTTACCTCTAATGTTAAACCATGAAGRCAACATTAAGGACATTTCAAAGAGCTGCTAAAATGGAGAAAAGACTCAAAAGTTTGTCTCTCACTAGTTTAACCACACAAATGAGCAGCTACTTGTGGGTTGGTGTCATGGCATAACTTTGAGATGAATTTGAAAAAAAAAATTTGAATTTCATGGTCTTTGTCTAACAAAAAGTTCAAAGGGTTGCCCTTCCTGTTGTCCACAGGATGAGGATGTCTAACTTGAAAAAAAAAAAAAAAAAAGGGGGAGAGAGCACGCTTGCTCAGCAGATGAGCATATTGCTCACATTTTTAAACATGAGTAATGCCATTACTGAAATAACCTCCCTGATATAACAATCAAATGCCAAAAAAAAAAAGCTCTTTAATCTCGTTTATAAAAGCAATGATTCAACCTCAGCTTTTTAGTATGACGGGGAAAAAAAAGGTTTTATATTTTCAATAGTAGCAGTTAACTTTACAGGCACTTACCCTTTACCCTGTCTTTTATAACATGGCCTTTTACCGAGGTCCCTCACATTTAGGGATGGTGAAGAAAGAGAACGCATCTTTAAACGCCCTCCACTGCCCTGGCGTGAAAGCCTCGGGGCAACTGGAGTTAAAACTCCTGACAACCAGAGTGGAATCCTGAAGTTTTACAGGGTACACCAATTGAAATCAAAACCTGTACTCTCCAGTTTGGRGRGGRRRAAAGAAAAGAAAAGAAAGAACCGAGTTTCTAACGAGCCACCATTCACCACTGCTACCCCAAAGAATTGAGGCTGTACCAGTAGCAGGTTGAMTGTGATCGTCTTAATCAGATTTGAGGCTCAGCAACAACTGACAGACAGTCCTGCTGACTGTTCAGGAGCMAAGTGTGTTTGGGGACAGATGCAGGAGGAGGGACTAATCCTGTTAGATTCCTAATCTGCTGCTCAGTGTATATACTCCTATTCTTAATACCTCATTTGGTGCAGCATCTTTTTTGGGTCAACACAGCTGATCAGGACATGTTGTAGAACCTCAGTTTCATCAATAATGACCATTTAGTGTCGATCATCAACCCTAACTTGAAGGTTTAAGAAAAGCTTTCACCAACACTGKTCTTTGTTGTAATTGATGAAGGTAATGATAAAATGAAAAGCCTGKACTTTCTAGCAAACGAAACACAGTGTTTTGTAAACAGACACTTGRAATCAGAGCATGTCAAGGTCACAGAGTCATACAGTACAAGAGTTAAACTCCAGACGCAGCAGAATAATAGAGTGAGTAAGTAAAGGAGGTATAAAATAATTATACTAGTCTTGGCCAAAGCAAACCTAAATGGGAAAAGGGGAAACAAACAAAAAAAAAGCTAAATCAACACTTCCTGGAATTCAAGCCTCACACATGGATTGGGAAGTCTGAATGCTTCCATGTCAAGCAGACCACTCCGATCTGTCATGAAGCCGGAAGGACAGGTCACTCAGTCAGCAGATACAGAGTGCTGAATATCTGTGCACGTTTGGCCAAAAGACTATCAGCAAGAGCATTCATGTGAAGAAAGAGGAGTCTAGTCTGCAGCAGGTAGTAAATTCCATAGAATCCAACTTAAAAAAACTCAACTTCTGCATTTCTGTCTCCTGGTAGAGCTGGTGTGGAGRGGAGCTGTGATAGCTGGACATGTTTTATTTTACAAAGCAGATATGCCAACTTCTTTGTCAGAAATCCTCAGAAGTGAATGTCCCTGTGGTTCATCTGTCATCATAYAAGTCTTTATCATCACAATAAAAGTATACTGTAGATTAGATGGAAAATATGCTACAGAGAGAAGAAGTGCACTCTCCAATATGTTTACCTAACTTTCTACAGATTGGTGTACACAAGGAGTTAAAGGCATTATGTCATTGTATTGGTGGCAGTCTACTGCCTCCATTTAATCTGCCCAGTGACCCAAATAGAGCCCAAGTGATCCAGAACCGGTCACGCAGGTGACTGGTCATCATGTGATCGGTGTGAAAACTCAGAACAGAGAAGCTACAGAGCTTACCTTTTGGATGAATAATAAAAAMTACTAACTTCTAGTTAATTTTGTAGTCAGCAATGACCTCACCACATTATGATGGAGGGATTCTGAACCTTAACCTTTGTATACAAGAAAAACAAGAAAAACAAGCCATAGTTAAACACATGCAATACCTGTTTCCACCATCTTCAGGATCGTGCAGCGTGGCTTCTATGCCACTGTCYGTTTCCACGTCTTCATGCATCTCAGGAGGTACAAGAGCTCCGGTGTCTTCATCAGTAAAGGTTTCACATTCACTGTAGGTGCTCTCAGAGCCCAGGTAGGCACTATCTGTTACCTCATTCTGCTGCAATGACAAAAAACAAACAGCCACATAAATCCATCATAATCAGAATAATTTACAATACTAATGTGGAAACTTATGGTAATAGTATTTTATCATTTGCAAATTTAGCTATGTTTACACAGTCCTAAATAACATGGGTCTACAAAGGCTGAAAAATGGATCAACTTTGGCATTTATTTGAGGCAAACACTAAAAAACCAGTGGTTGCTCAAAACATGAGGGAAAAAAAGCCTGAAATTTAAAACACTGCTCAATATGAAATGTAGAGAGTGACTAATCTGTTGTTTTCACTTTCAGAAGACAGTTTGAAAGCAAAGCTTCGACTCGAAAAAAAAGTTTCAAACAAAAAGATTAAGTCTGCACCAAATCAAATGCTAAAATACTGACTCTTTCCCACAAGAAAAGAACACCTGAAGCAGTTAGGAGACAGTTAGCCACACATCCTCAGGTTTTACGGCTGTAAACTAATAAAAAGGTGACATAAGTGAGTCATGTTGCAAAGCATTACGTACCAGTCTGCATGAAGTATCAGCAGCAGGACCCAGAGGGATATTTACCATATCCAAAACCATTCTGTCCAGTTTTACTGCCCTGCCATGAGAGACTTACTAATAACTTTTACTAAAGCCTACTCACTTTCCCTCTAACAAAGAAACTATGCCGGTAAAATGGGAATTACTGCGATACCTTGTTCAGCTTCACTGGGTGGTCAAAGGGGCGGAGACAGAGACAAAGTCTAAAGAGTAACACGAGTCAGCTGTAAAGCTCAATCAGCTCCTGTCAGTTCTCAGGCTCTAGACGAAAATGCCACATGATCAGCTGAACATTAATTTTTCCTGCAGYTACGCTTCCTGTCCCTCTGTCAACAACATTAGGACATGTCCTACAGACTTGCAGCAGCTGTGAAAGAGGACTATACATTCGAACAACCTGCTTTAACCGTCTGTGTGCCAACAGGAAACAAACATGCTGTTAACGCCGAAGAGAAAGAACACAGTGTTTTGAAACAATGATAACAAAAGGCACTGGTTATTATCATGTGAAAACCCATGATACAATAAGGATTTACATTTTAAAGAGATAAAAATGAGAAAAATCAGCCACGGWAGGAAAAAGTGTCTACAAGGATTTTTTTTTTTTCTGGGTGAAGTGTTTTCGGCTCTCCTATGCCAGGATTCAGCTGGACACCCTCACCTTGCTCGTTTTGAAAGCAAACAGCAACAGAACAGCTACGCCATTGAGARAGGAACCCTTTTCTGCCAGAAAGTTACGGGAGGGAAGTAAAAAAAACAAGACCACAAACACAGGTGGTGGCGTGTACATGAAGAAAAACTAAAGCTTCTCAGAAAGTCTTCTCATGTGTTCCAGTAAAAGGCAAACAAGGCAGTGAGAATATTTAATGTAAAAACTAGTTTCCAGGGTTTGCTGCACTTTTAGTTGTGCCAATATCCAATTTTAAAGATTTATTTTATGCTCATATTTATATTTTTATCCAAGTAAACTGAAATTAAAACTTAATTTTTTTTTATCTACAGAGAAGTAGATGTTATACATTTGCTGCAACATCTGTAGACATACATATAAATTAAATTCTTAGTGAGCAACTTAAGCTTTTCTTTAATGCAACATATTTAAGCACAAACAGTGCTTTTAAAACAGTGTTTTTACTGGAGCATATTCATGTACATCAACACCTGCAGGTCTAAAACAAAACAAGAGGGGGCGCTGACATACACAGAAACTCCTAAAAACAAATATCTAACACTGAAAAGACACATAATAGCATTTTATTGCTGCAGAGGCCAGCAATACTCGTGGTTAAATATACAAGTTTTGTGSACAAGAGGAGAGAGGAATTCCAAATATGTCAACCACAACTGTAAAAACACCAGTCTATACACTTTCAGGAACTTCTGCACATTCCAGCCTGTTCGATATTTGTCAAAGAATACGAAAAAGCCTTGCATGCCAGACGCTATTTTGTGTCAGCCAAACCAGCGTGTTCAGTCTGTGGAGCACTCCCAGAGAGGTAATGATAGTTCTGAAAGCCACTCAGTGAATTACACTGGGAAGACGTCAAGAGTGCACAGAGAGTTCAGCTGGTGGCCTTCACGCTGTTCTGTTGTTTGCGTGATTAGAGAGTGAAAGCATAGCAATTTAAAAATATACAGAAACAAAAGAGCGGCTTCGCTTTTTTGTTTGGAATCTCACCTCATCGTATTCCTCAGGGCAGCCCACAGCTCCATCCCCTGGACTGTAGTTTACACTGTAGAGCTGTGGCTCAGGGCCTGGAAATATGAGAGCAGGAACAGGTTTAATGTGAGCAGAACAAACAGAGTCAAACAGTAACAGAGACTCTGCAAACATAAACCTGAAGTAAACAGAACAGATGTCACTGTGCCAACAGAAACTCAATATGTATCTCAGTTTCTTCATGCTCGGTCTCAAGTGCTCAAAAATTATTTCTCTTAAGAGTTGGTTACATCGATAAAAACAAATTTAATTTATACAAAACAAGAGGTAATAAAAAGCCTGGTCAAAAATGTTCTGTAAAAAGTCCCACATTAAAATGATGCCTTTGAAGTGTGCAGCTAAACTCTTCTTTTCATTACACATGTACATACGTCATTTAAAAAATAACTTTTTATTTTATCTATGCAAAAAATCATATGTTATGAATTAAAAACAAATGTACAAATGAATTTGAGGAAATGTGAATCTGAGAAAATTTAATGTTAGAACCTGAGAAAAAAAATTGCAAAATGCCAGGTCACGTATGTCAATGAGAAGTGGTTCTCAAACCGTTTACCTGGATGAATAAAGGTTAAGTTAAAAAAACAAATAAAAGAAACAACAAAATGTTGAGTAAAAATAGTTTTAATAAATATCAAAGCCTCCAACAAAGGTTGATTTATTTTAACTTGGATAAAAAATAAATAAAGTAAAAAAACTGCAGCAATGCCATCAGTTTCTTGGACAATGGTTAACAATTCACCCTACTTAACAATAAAGTGGTAACCTTTGTAAACGTCATCCCAGAAGCACGTTTGATTGGCAAAAAAAAAACATTTTCTCTTTTCAATGCGTTCGCAAAAAGCTCATTTAATACACTGAGCTCTAACTGCACTACGTWAGCATGTTTTAGTCAGCAGTCTAAGAAAAACGTGACAGTAAACACTGTGGCACTTTTACACCCACATTTCAACACAACTGGAGAGTCCAGCAGTATAAATCTGCTGAAAGCCCAGATCACATTTATTTTCATCAATAAAGGCTTTCTACTGGAAGTATCTGCAGACCAGCAGTGTAACCTGAGATGCACCATCGAAAGTCCCATCAGCCGTTGCGGCTCTTGTATCTAGTAAACAGAGCAGTGAATAGCATCCTGCTGAGAGGAGAGAACAAAATAATTCCAGCAAAGCCAAGGGTTTGGTGCCCTGGGAGTTGTGTAACCCTTTGCTTTTTGAGCCACAAAGACACTCATGGGCAGGTAAACTGTAATAGGCATCAAAAAGCTGTTTTCTCCTGAACACCTGCAGCCTCCTGTCATACGCTCCACCCAGTTTTGTTGTTCAGGACATACCAGAGCCACTATAGAGTGTACAGCATTTCTACAGCCTGCAGACATGTCTTTATGTTAACAGTAAACTTTTGRCAACTGGGTCAGAAACTAAATTGAGGAAAAGGGGGATTGCAATAAGCCTGACACTGAAACTAAATTCCTAAGCAGGTACAGCAGGTTCTGCCTTCTTTTCACATCACAATAGTTGTAAAACGATCTGGTAGATCAACTGATAAATTGCTAGGCTGGAAGTAACAAAAAATAAAAATAAATAAATAAATAAATAAATAAAAAGAATATTTGAATTTTACAGCAAGTGTATAAAAAAACATAAGCTACAGTAGTGATGGAAACCTGTTTTCCAGAAAAAGAAAAGTAAGAGTCATTAAATTCCAAACTCAATCAAAATACCAAAGACGGCTAAAGAGCAACATGGGACAAAGATGGTCAGCTAAAATCACAAAAGTGAAATCTTAGATTCATACGTGCGTCAGCTAAACTATTTAAGAATAAAAAAGTACATATGGTGCTTGATAGTCCTTGCATTGGCCCAGACTGCCTGTAAAATACAAACACTGAAAAAAGACCTCATAGCAGAATTTTAAAATCCTGAATTTCTGGTTGTATTAAAACAGAAGTGACGAGATGAGGAGATCATATGCCACTGAAAACCAACTCCTTTTAGATACCGTTTTTATTAGGTAAATGATATTGTCTAAATATGAAAGTCAAGAATGTCTCGTGCTTTCACTGTGATTTTTACAAATACAATGACAACTGGGAGGAGACAAGTCTGAAACAAGGCAGAAAGAGGACATGACAGTAAATAATTAAAGCGAATAGGAAACCCGACCCCAAACCTCATCTCCACCACTCCTGCTTTGAAAGCTCCCCAGTCAGCCCATGTGTGTGCGTTTCATGCTTTTGACCGAATAAGTTATTAATGAGCTGAGTAACCAGAGCTGAGTAACCCAAAAAGCCTTGGGAAGGAGTCACAGAAATCAATAGGATGGATAGACTGAGGCATCAGTTGTACTGTTGAGATAGCTTTGTCATGCTCTCAACAGCAAAAGAACATTTTGAAACACCCACACACCCAGTGAGTGCTGTACACAGCTGCATACAAAAAATACAAACAAGAATATTCTAATTTATATTCATCACAAATTACTTAGAAATATTTAAGTGTCAAAATACTAGCTACGTATCCAAATATCCAGGTCTCAGTCTGTGAAACTATATTAGGTCATGGTGAGGGTAAAACAAAGGAGAAATAAAAAGTTCCTAAAAAACAAAGAGAAGCATTAAACTCACCTCCATTGCTAATTGCAGAAATGCCACGATGGAAGTCTCCAAAACTGATGACTCCAAGACCACTGGGATCCAAAAACTTTGTCAAGTCCTTCACCTGGAAGAAATAACACCATCAAAACTAGCATTGCCATGGCAATGATAAAAATAAACTCACAAAGCCACCATTTCCCCTGTGTAGTTGCTTTGAGATGATGTAAGAAATGGTGTAAGAGGACATTTTCAGCTAGTAAATTGACCAGTGTTTGAATTGTGACTTCACTGCAAAAGAACATTTCAAAAAAAAAAAAAACCTTAGTATTTTTCCAGAATACAAGCCATGGTAAGAAAATAAAACCAACAACAAAACTGCTAACAAGGCAATATATTCTGATTACAGAGCAGAAAGTCACCAATAAAACACTTGTGACTTTCAGAAGAAAATCTAATTTTACAGAYATCAAGTGCTTAAATGTATTGGACTCTGAGCAACAACAGATTTACTGTGACTTTACACAGAACAAAGTGTACAGTCTTTAAACTAATTGAATTACAACAAGAAAAGCAATGAAAGAAATGGCACTAAAAGTTTTCTATGCAGGCTCTGATCTTCCAACACATACTTGTTGCCATGATATTAACACGTATTTAAGGAAAAGGTTTTATGGGATATCTAATCTCACCAAAAACACAAATGTTCAGTTAAATTCATAGCACGAAGAAATACAGCCTGTTGTGCACAGAAGCTTTAAAAAAATAGGTTACATAAGTGCAACTACATGCTGCGTCTTCCTTCCCTCAGTAGCCTGGCAACCAATCCTGTACTTATTTCTTGTATGTATGTGGGAATAATAAAACCTCCCAAAGGCTTTACCTGGAAATGAGACATTAATCCATGTCTGCAAAACTACTTCTGCACTAAGCATTACTGTAGATTTGTTGTGGTAGAAATAACAACATGCCATCTTAAAGAATACATCTARATGTCCAGTGTATATCACTAAAATTAAGTAGGAATGAAGCAGATGAGTCAGAGATTTTAGCTTACTTCCTTGAAAAAATAAGCAAATGATCAACGTTTTCTTCCTTATGTGGCTTCTCTCTGTTCATACCAGTTATATATGAAAACAAAGTTGATCTCYTTAGCAGCGCTGAGAAGACTCAACATGCTGCAAATCCTAATAAACTGTCTTCAAACAACTACTGTGGCTTATTACCTAAGCTTGATTAATCAAACCCATCCGTCCATTTTCTTCCTCTTATGCAGAGTCGGGTCGCGAGGGCAGCACCCTAAGTAGAGAGACCCAGACTTCCCTCTCCCCAGTCACTTGGGCCAGCTCATCCGGGGGAATCCCAAGGCATTCCCAGGCCAGCCGAGAAACATAGTCCCTCCAGCGTGTCCTGGGCCTACCTCTGGGTCTCCACCCAGTGGGATGTGCCTGGAACACCTCACCAGGGAAGCGTCCAGGAGGCATCCTAACCAGATGAACCACCTCAACTGGCTCCTCTCGACATGGAGGAGCAGCGGCTCTACTCTGAGTCCCTCCCGGATGACCGAGCTTCTAACCCTATCTCTAAGGAAGAGTCCAGACACCCTGCGAAGGAAACTCATTTTGGCCGCTTGTATCCGCAATCTCAGTCTTTTGGTCACTACCCAAAGATCGTGACCATAGATGAAGGTAGGAATGTAGACCGACCGGTAAAGCTTCACCATGACAGACCGGTACAGCGCCCGCATCACTGCAGACGCAGCACCAATCCACCTGTCAATCTCCCGCTCCATTCTTCCCTCATTCGTGAACTTGGRGGGGGATCCCCTCCCCGACCCAGAGAAGGCCCTTTTCCGGCTCAAGACCATGGTCTCAGATTTGGAGGCACTGATCCTCATCCCGGCCACTTCACACTTGGCTGTGAACYGCTCCAGTGAGAGCTGGAGATCATGATCTGATGAAGCCAATAGGACCACATCACCCGCTAAAAGCAGAGATGTGATCCTAAGGTCACCAAAATTAGTCAAACCCAGCTATACAAAAGTGCAAGATCTCACTGAATGGTGGTGCATGAGACATTTAGCCTTACAGTGACATCAAGCCCTGTCCAACTCTCACCTCGGCTGTGATACCTTTCCATAAAGTAGAAAAAAAAACCTTAGTAAAAATATTTTAAGAGTTGAATAAAAGGTCAGTGGTTAACTTCTGAGCATAGCTTTCAGTTTTCTACCTCACAGTGGAGAATCAGTTTACAGGAAATAGTTTTGTTCCATGCAGCGCCTCAAAAACACCTCTACAGGGTGAGGTGGAAATACTGCGGTGTGAGCAGGGAATTAATTCTAATGTTCCTATGACATTTTTACATGCCTGTTATTTTTAGTGGGAAAGCACTGGCGCTCAATTGTGTTTCCTCACTCAGACTGAGTGATGCTACGTTCACACCGAGCGCGTTTTGAGCGGCAGGAGTGGCCGATTCACATGCAAAGTCTATGARGACGCGCCTCTAGGGGTCRTGCGTTGCGTCATGTACGTTTTGGGCGGCGCGCAAGGAAGGCGGAAGGAGCGCAGAGCGTTTTCCGCGCATGCGGCGCTGCGGAAGCCGCCGCCAGTGTTCAAATATCTGAACTGTTCGCCGCTCGACGCGTCTCCCACTGAAAACCATAACAGGCGGACTGGAGATCTTTACCTGAAATCGACCGTGTGCAGTTGGATTTTCTGGCAGGATATGTCAGCACCGATGTGGATCAGCTGCTCGGGACCAAAAAAAAGTCCATCAGCTGGCAGCTTCTGGAGTGACGAAACTAACCGAACAATAGGGTTGGGCAATATTGGCAATAAAAATTAATCACGATTAATTGTGGTATTTAGCCGATAACGATTAATTTGACGATTAATCCCCTGGAGTCCCTGGACATCCTTATGTCCTAGTCACATGTCCAATTTAGCGGGAAAGATTTGCTTTTTGGAAAAATCTGTTCCAAATTGTGTCAAAATTACAGACTTCAGGCTGTATATCAAATTTTAAATTGTGTTGATAGATAAATAAATTACACAACTTTTTTTTTAATGTTCGTCATATTTAAAGCGGAGAGGAGCATCAAGTGGACTGACTGGAGAAATATCCAGTCAGTCTATCTGGTGGCATTAATCGTATTAATCGTCAAGTGTCAAAAAATAATTGATTGTTTTTCTGACGATTAATCGCACACGATACGATTATGCCCAACCCTACCGAACAAATCGCCTCTGAATCATCTGGTGAGTTAATTATCTGCCGTGCGCAACGTTCGCTTGCTTTTTAGTAAATAAATCAAAGCCATTTTCTTTTATTTTATCTTTATTTCACCCGCCGAGGACACGCTCCTCCCACACCCCGCTGCTGCCGCTTGTTCTGGTCTGAACACTAGTGCGTTCTTCGTTCTGAAAATAGTGCGTCCAACGAGAGGCGTTTTGCGCTTTTTGGCCGCTCAAAACGTGTTCGGTGTGAACGTAGCATCAGTTCACTAATAAATTTACAACTGTGCTGGCTGTCAAACAAAGGTTTGAAGCTACCATATTGTGGAAGCAACCATTGGCCTACATTTGGCTCGTTCATATGCTACAGCAGCCCCTGAGATCTTGTGAGCAGAAGCCTGTTGGCTATTTCTAGCTCTAACCTAAAAACTACAGAAGTGAGCAGTGATTTTAGTAGAACTGAGAATGCTCTTGCACAGCTGATCAAATAGAACTCAGCATATTAAAAGGTTCCATTCTTAAAAGTTAAGTGTCCACGTGTTCCTCAAAAACTAAGAATTTRTGCATTTACTGAATTTTTCTCAATTATATCTGTCTTTTTTCCTGTCTTTCAAAGTGCTACCAAAAAAAAAACAAGTTTGCTTGTGTCAAAAGAAGCCAGTTTTTAAACATGAAAAAATTGAGTATAGATTCATTTTGAAAAGTTGTTTAATTCTCAAATCATTTATTTTTAGTACTCCTTTAGATTTCTTCAACTGTTGACARTCACTCTGGCTGGCACTTAAAACTGTAGGTGGCATATTTGAAGAGGTTTTTGTGCATCATATATCTTTTTAAATTTCAGAGTCTCGTGCACGTTAAAAGTTCAGCCACAAAGAAATTTAAAAAGTAAGCCCCAATGCAACTGTCAGTTCCATTGTGTAGCAGAGCAGTGAAAGGCGCTGTGGTTTTTCTGTTTCCTGTATTCGTTTCTAATCAATGCCGAGGCACGCCTGACCGCCCCCACATAGACCACTGCCGAGCATAACCCTACCAAGAAGAATACCTCTTAGTGTCGGTCTTCTTCAAAGGGGATTTCACAAACATTCTAAAACAAAACCTTTGACTACCATAATCATAAGCCTATAGTGGTGGCAAAAGTGAAGCAAAAGGGGGAAAAAAAGACAAATTCAAAAGTGAGCTCATGAGCGAGGATGTTTTAGACCATGGGACATTCCATTGTGGATTAGTGGTGCAGAACACAAAAGCAGGGGGGTGAGGGGAGGTAGAGGCTGGCCAAAGTTGGGTCACAAAGTAGTTCAGTTTAGTAAAGGGTCAGGGTTAAAACCAAAGAGTGACAGGAGGACAGAAGGGCATTTTTAGTAGCTAAATGCACTACGTTGATACACATTTAAAATAAGTTTTAAAATAACTGAATGGCAGCAAGCCATGATCTGTTCTTCAGCTCAACTGCAGTCCATTAGATGAGTTTACTTCACACAAACAGAAGCTAAAGAAGAAAAAAAAACATCACAGATTTTCTCCAGAGAGCGTCAACTCACCCAGAAAAATAAGGGAAAGAAGAGGCAGCTTTCAGAATCATAATTAAATAGAATCATAATTGAATAGAAACATAATTAAATAGCAGGGCGGCACAGTGGTTAGAGCTATTGACTCTCAGCGAGATCACAGGATCACCTCCTGCATTTGGGTGGAGTTGCATGTTCTCCCCATGAGCATGTGGCTTTTCTCCGGGTACTCTTGGTTTCCTCCCACAGAACAAATTCATTCATGCTAGGTTCAATGGTAACTCTAAATTGTCTCTTAGATGTGAATGAATGTGACACCAGTTGTGTGTCTGGTTTGTGTTTATGTTGCCCTGTGATGGACTTGCAACCCTGTGTCTCGCTCAGTGACTGCTGGAGATGAGGACCAGCTTTCCTCTCACCCAGAAAGAACAAAAAACGTGTAAAGAAAATGGATGTGTGGATGATTAAATAGCCTGTTTATGGGATGGGAGTTCAGGGGAGTGAATTATCTAACTTATCTGCACGCAGAATGTTCGGTTTTTCAAAAGGCATTTTTAATGTAGGTGAACCCTGAAAGTGTCTACATTTTAATAAGAATATTCAAATAAACGCAGCATGGTAGAATAAATATGGTCCCTATCACATTCAAAAATAATTCTAGAGGAAGCATTTGCATGCTCAGCATACAAGTGCCAGCTGACATTTATGCAAATACCACATGAATACTTTCCTGCTGGGAAATTTTCAGAGGTAAAGGAGAGCAAGAATGCAAATCCTACCTCATGACTTAAATAGTGCAGCATTAAAACAAAAAAAAAATAATCACAAAATGTATATTGTAAAAAAGGTTTATCAGGGACAATTATGCACAAGATTTTGTCTAAATTACCAAAAAGGCTTTCTATAAGTTTACCTAAAACTCCTAACACCAGGGTCTAGCTTTTAAACCTCATCTCTAATTGTTTTATGGATGTTCAAGCATCAGTGGTTTTCTGTTTCTGTAATTTTCTCAACCGCATGCTTAAATGTTTTTTACCTCCTTTGCCCAAAGTATAATTTTGTGGATCRGATTTGCTCAGGCATGAAGGTTATTCAAACTGTGTTTATCTCCAGATTACTGTAATACAAGGATATATCAGGGCAAAGCTTGCCCAAATATGAAAAGTGCGTTCATATGTACTCCAACTGATATCAGTGGAGTCAAACATTTGCTGTCTCGCCAAAGGTGCAATCAAGATGCATGTAACCTTGTTAGATGAGACTTACAGACTCTTGTGTATGAAAAACGAGATCMAAATCCATTCAAAGGCTACATTTATTAGAAAAAAATTCTACAATTACTGACAACGGGTCTGTATACTTTCAGGTTTTTTTCCTATAAATGAAAATGTAGAAAAAAGCAAGCATGTTTTGTTTCTTGCCTTCTCTCAGATGATGACCAAATGGAAATTTAAAMGGTTCTCTGCAAGGGTGAAAGGCAGAAAACAGTGAGAACAAGAAATCAGTCCTTAGTCTTGTTAATTATTTATTCTCTCACCCAATAAGATGAAGAGGCCCCCCACCAAAAAAAAAACAAAAAAAACTTGTAAGTAGTAGTCAACCCCTACCAGAAACCAATGTTAACAGAATAATAGAGCACATCTGGTAAAAAGAAAACTCACTGAATTGTTAAACCTCCAGCATTCCTCTGCACATTTTGTAACTGATTTACATTGACAAACAATTTTTTTTGTTCTTTCATTCCTAAAAACAAGTTTATGATCAGTTGTTGTTGGACAGCAAATAAGCAAAGATCCTCTCTGACACTGGAAAATGTGTTTTCTCTTAATCRTTTACAGTTCTCAGGTTGGGGAGCCACAGATACCTATGACTAGACATGGGACAAATCAGGGGCATCACAAGCGCTTTGAACTGGGAGAGGAGGGATTAAAAGCATTAGTGAGGCAGCAACGTGCATGATGCATGTGTGGAGCATCAGCCAGAGCTTATGCTGCTCAAAAACTGCAAAGCTTAGAGCTTCCTAAATAAACTGTAAGTAATAGTTGACTTATTATTGTAAAGAAAAAGCAACAAAGTTTTGGAAAACAAGTAAAAACTGGATAGGATGAGCTTGTTAAAGTTAGCATTTAAATGGGTTGAGATCGTTGGAGACTAGATGGCAATTCAAAATTGTGAGAACGCAATAACATTTATAAAGTCTCACTGAATCTAACTGTTTCAACCAGTGAGCGATGAAGTATTTGTCATCTGCGTGGTTGTTAGACCTGAATATTCTGGGCTGCAGTTTCAGCCATTTTCTGTCATAAGGAAAGCTCCTATGTAGGTGWAAAAAGACATCTCTTGCACTCTAAAATTTACAACTACAGTGCCTATAAAAAATATAAAGTATTCACCCATATGTTTTTATACTTTGATTTATGACAGCATTAAGTCAATAAAATTTAAATTGGCCTTCTTTACAATTTAAAATGGGTTTATTATGTATTTTCTAGACACATTTAAATTCTATACAACAATCAAGTAATTCTGTTATCTTAATATGAAATGGTTTAATATGTAGCCATTCAATTTGTTGTTCTAGAAGGATTCAATGTTTTGTTTTGTTAACTGAAGATTATTATAGTTTGAATTTATACTTGAGAAAAAAGGGTGTAGATATGATTTTTTTCTTCTCTCTGCCACCTTTCATTTCATTTTATTTGTATTTTCTTTTTTTATTGTACATAGAATTTTGTTTTTTATGGAATGAAACAAGTTTGAAATTGAAAAATTGAATTGAAATCTTCAGTTGTCATGAAAATTCTGTGTATTTTACAATTAAATCTGACTTTGCATCATAGCCTATCTAAACGCCTTGAAATTGGCCTCCGCTCTTTACCATTTCGGACACTCCCACTGCAGCACATCTTCACAGCAGTGCTTCGTGGGAGGGGGTGCTCTGGGAGGTGGTAGCTYGGCTGCAGACCGAGCTCCAGGGAGGAGCTTTGTGTAAATAGGAGGTGTTTTGTACCAGCAAGAATTTAGGCAGCTCCACGTTTCCACAAGAGATTTAAGGATGCACGAATGAGTCAAAGCARCACTTTGGGTATGTTTTTGATGAGGGAATGACAACATATTAAGCTAAAAAAAAAGGTGATTTTGCATAATACCCCACACCCCTTTCAAAAGAATCTTCAATGTCAAAGWGAAATCAAGATTCTACGAATAACAAGTAAATAAAATGTGCAACACAAATAGACTGTACAAATAAAACTATTTTAAAATCTCAAACAATTTTTACCTGAATTATTTAAGCTAATGCATTAGAGTTTAAAAGCTACTAATAGAGAAATGTAATAATTTAAAAGATTATTTTTACTGAAACACCTAACAGTTGTGTCATTGCTTACATGCATTGTGGTATTTGCAAGGATGTGATTGTGTTGCTGAACCTCAGTGATTGGTATAAAACGTAAGCACCCAGAAACGAGCTTCTGCTGTAAAAAAAAGTGACCTCTGTCAAAGGTTTCAATTTTTAACTGAAGTCAAAGCCAAAAAGTACATACTGTAATAAAAGTAGTTGCAACTATCAATTTGTTACAAAAATAAGAACATGGCCTCCTGCTGACAACAGAAAAGTGAGGGACATGGGWGGAGCAACAGTCATGCCACAAGAGATGATTCCAAACCACGGGATATATAAATGAAGAGATGAATCTCTCTCATTGAACATATGGATGAGATCCAGGCCTGGCTGAATTAATGCCAGACAATATGGTTGACAGATTTATCTAATTGCTAACCCAGATCCTAACTCTTGAACACACACCAACAGATGAATGACATACTAATCCAGGCATGGATTTAATACGTTGCTCTTTTATAATCCCAATGAAATTCATTTAAATAATAAAATTAGGACCCGGTGCTTACAGGAAGAATTTACTTTGTTCTAATCTCTWCATTAAGTATTTAGCTTTTGCCACTAAGAATTAAATGGGTTAATGGCTTAAAATGGTAGGATCCTGCAAAACCTAAAACATTGAAAGGAATAAAATTAGTGGATGAATTTCAAGTGACTGAATTAAACAAGCTTCTAGCAGTGTTAGTTTTAGAGTCAGACAGAAAATCAATAATAAATGGAGACATGGATCATTTTACATRGAGTTTCACTCAGCATGCACAGTCCAGAGGAGGCCCTTATGAGAGGAAAAGAGCACAAAGACAAGGCATCTCACCTGATCGGCCCCATACGCAGCTGCAAACTCCATAAACTCCTCAATACGAACGAAACCATCTCCATCTTGGTCCAAAGCATCAAATACGGCTTTCAGAGGAGACACATCCTCTTCTATTGTATTTACAGCTGAGACCACTGGCAGGGAGTCGTCTCCCACCATCKTTGAGGAGGAAATGGTCTCCACAGTCTGCTCACTAGTCCATCCAGTTTCTGGACAAGAAATGTTAACGTCCTGAACTGAAAAATCAAAAGAAGCCACTTCATGATGGTCTGAATCCTCAAGTTGGTTAAAGTCTGTCAATTCCCTTTGTTCAGCTCCCGGACTGAAAGCACTTCCTGTTTTTAAATCCTCGTGTGGTTTTAAGTCCCAAGACGCATCATCATCATGGACTTCTTCAAYAGTCAAGCACAGATCCAGAGCCATCTCCCCGTTTTCCTGATTGCTGGTTTCGACACAAATCTTATCATCTATCAGATCCTCAGAAATGATCTCCACAGAGTTCCTCTCACTGGTGAGATCATCGTGACAGCAGGCATCTTGAGTCAGCGGCAGTATCAGGAGAGAGGGTTCGTCTGGCAAACTCAGAGCAAGTGAGTCATTCTCASTTATCTCCTCCTGAGGAAGATTTCTAATTAAAGCGGCTTCTGCATTTGCCACCTCTGACTGAGTACCTGAGCAGACTTCAGACACAAGAATGGCAGGGCATAAGCTACTGTCAAAATCTGGAACGTCCAAATCCAACAAAGGCACGGATCCTTCGAAATGCTCTTGCAGTGTGCTGATGTGGCTACACGGCTGGCAGTTCTCAGGTAAACCTTGCACCGAAGTGCTACAGGTTATAGGCAGAGCAGTCACTTGATCAGGGAATAAACCTTTGTCTCCAGTTTCAGGTGACACAGTCTGTAAGGGAGGGGGACCAGCCTGCTCCTCAGTAACACCCTGTAGGTTTAGCTCACTCGTGGATTCCTGCGTGAGACAAGGAAGTTCGTCCGAGAAATCTACTAGCAAAAACGGATCCCCCAATTTAGTCTCTGTATCGCTCCTGGAAATTGGAGAAGATGGCACGCTGATGTTCAATAAGTCAGTCTGGCCACTGAGGACATCTGAGCCCTCAGGAGAGGAGTTTTGTGTAAAAGTCAGCTCCTTACTAGCAGTTGTTTTCTCAGACACATCAGAGAAATCGGAAGAAAACATCCACAATGTGCAGTCACTAATTCCCTCAAGTCCTTCGTTTTGTTCTGTGCAAGACAATTCCTGTAAACGAGTACTGTGGACTGAAGCATGGGAAACCACAGGCTGTCCTCCCTCAAAATGCAAATCCCCACAAGAAAAAGAAGATATATTTATAAAGTTATCAAGCTTAAAAGGCTCATCCGCAAAAAGGTTTTCCTCCTCACTTTTTGGGAAACTTCCATCTTTATCATCCAAACCCGTCTGGCCACTCATRGTTGCACAGAGCACACCTCCATTGTTTGACGTCTGAAATCCCAGAGGAAATGGCTGCTCGGACTCCCACTGAGTGTGCCCCAAAGGGCCAGACACAACTGTCGGCTCCATTGAGGCTAGTCCTCTTTACCAACTCTAGAAAGCCTAAAACATTTTATCTGACCGCAGTTAAAAACACTGCTGTTCGGCTTTAACGCCATGCTTTTCTGGTCCTGATAGAAACAAGTGGCAGAACTTTCTACGAGCCAGTTCTTACAGTTTGGCAAGTAACACAAAATAGTAATAGTAGTTTTATTAAGACGTCACCTAACGTGTTCATTTTTGGTCCGATTAAGTTGCACGTTGACTCACACTGTGTCTTTTTTCTGTCATGGCTGGTTGACGCCAATTTGTTCAGCACATCYGCCGCCAACAAGCTTCACTTCGGCTCGAGCTGCTTGAACGCCGACGTGAGTCCCACACCTGAAGCGACGCAGCGTTTAATGGCACGAGACCCCTTTACAATTTGAGACGAATTAACTCGTTACGTTACTTACGGGTGTTTGTCAACATTAGCTTTCTTAGCCGAATGACTAATCTCGTCTACAGCTGTAATCAAACATCAAATAACCTCTAGGTGCAGGGTTTACAACATCAATACAAAAGCGGGAAAGCACATGTATCTGTCCTAGCCTCTTTTATTTTGTGTTAGCAACGAACGTTAGCTCCTCCCTTCTCCGTGGCCATTGGTGGAGGAAGCGGCTAACCGACTAGCTACAAATTAGCCTCCAACTCGGCCAACGATTCAGCTTTTTTCCGCCAAATTAAATTAAACAAAATGCTAGCTCTCTTTATTAAAATGAAGATAAATAGATGTCTTTTCGCAGCACAGCGTAATTTCTTCGGTTTTTTTTCTCCTCTGTTTTTTTCCAGCGTCAATCCACCTGTGTCCAGGACGAAACTAGACAGGCCAGAAGAGAGTGACGAGTCGAAACCTTTCCTCCTCGGATTCCTCCGCCGTCCTCGTCTCACGGTCTCACCTGTCTCGTCAGTCCGCGTTCAAAATCACGAGGAAACGACTAGAATGTGAAGYGAGGTCACGGTACTCCATCGTGAAAGGAATCAGTCCATCGGTGTTCGGATCGCAGACGCCGAAAGCTCTCGCATCAGCATCAGCAGCGTCCCATCCTCCTCCTCCTCCTCCAGCCGCATACATCCACCGCTGACGTTTCGCGCATGCGCACAAGATGCCCCGCAGTATCACTGGCACCACATCACCAGCTATCAACTAATATTTGGGCATTTCGGGGAAAGAAGCTCAGCCCACTCATCACAATGATCACTGTGTGAGAATATCAAGTGAAGTCATCATCTCCCATTAAATAATTATTTACATTTGAGAACAAATCAGAGGGTCAGAGTTTGTATAAGCTTTATTTTTTCCGTAATTAAACAAAACATAATTACCAATAGCGTTTTAAGTGCAAATCTTTTCTTGTAAATGTTTTTTTTTTCTAAATGTAATTTTAATGTGTTGGCACCCCCGTCTGGCTTTTTCCAGTACTTCATGTCAGATATAGAAACTCATATACCTTATTGCAGTGGTTCCCAAACTTTTTATCTTCTGACCCACAAAATATTMATGGCAAAAACTTGTGACCCCAAATATTACTGGTCTGAGTACACAAACTCCGTTAATAACCCTAAAAACACAGGCTTTTTGACTATTTAAACAGCTTGTACACAAATATAAATACTTATTTATACTTATTTTGTGTTTTTGTAATAGTTATAGGGAAAATATTACAT